TACCAATTAGCAACCTGATCTAATTACAGTAATTGCCGATGCATATTATACATCCAACTTTGCATGAATGCTTGCTAATTTCTTGGCATGCTCAGCAGTTGCACTTGCATGATTCCCAATCAAAATTATGGGCCATCCTCACCAGTAAATGACCAAGATTTGCCTCCTTATCCCCCTGAGCTTCAATGGCAGCCTGAAATGGGGAAATTCAACAGGTAACACTTTTACTGGTGTGAAGGAAAAAGCTTGATTAATTCCTGTGTTCAATGGTTGTTAAAGATGCAAAGGGGTGGGGGAGTACCACAACTTCTCCTTCTTTGGAGGTTTTCAAACAGAGGCTAGATGGCCATCTGACAGCAGTGCTGATTCTGTGAACTTGGGCAGATCATGAGAAGGGAGGGCAGGAAGGGTTGCATCAGTGCTTAGTTCTTGTGGCCCTTTCTTACACGCCCAGGGAAATGCTGATCGCCACTTTGGGGTCAGGAAGCAATTTTTCTCCAGGCCAGTTTGCCTGGAGATCCTGGAGGGTCCCCCCCCCTTTCTGGGGACAGAGCAAGGGTCACTGGGGGTGTGGGGGGGAGGTATTTGTAAATGTCCTGCATTGTGCAGGGGTTGGACTAGAGGTCCCTTCCAACTCTATGATCCTATGATTCCTACTGCGATAGAGACCACTATGTGACAGAAAGGTCTCCTTTGATCCACTGCACATCTTTAGGAATGACAGGCTCACTCTCTCCCTCAAAAGCATATTCCAAAAATACGCAATAGTTGTATAAGTGCAATTATGTAAGTAACTTTGCAGCCTGAATTCTGCTACCAAGGATGATAGTGTCCAAAGAACTGCAATTAAGAATGGATGAAAGCAATGTGTTGCCAATGCTTGGAGAGCTACTGAAGGGGAAAAGCTGAAGAGATCTTGCACAACTGGACTGAACCAGCCAAGTTGTTTGCTGGCTGGACCCAAACCACCATTCATGCTTTTTAGCAGATTGTGACATTTTCATGGTCAACATTTTAGGGTTTGAAAATCAGGCCTGATCTAGACTGATGGTGGCTGAAGCAGAACAAAAGAAAAAAAAAGAGTCCCCTCTGGGACTTGCAAAACTGCACTTGACACAGTGTCTCGTCTGACCTGGGCTCTACCCATGCCAAAGGGACTATGTGTGCCGCGCAGCTGCTTTGTGCAAGTAACAGCCCATTTTAAACAAGACTCTGTACAAGTACAAAGACCCACAGGACACCACTTTTCTTTCACCAGTGCCACACTCAGGGCCAGCCCGAGGTGTTCCTGTGCCCTAGGCGAGTGCAGATGCCAACCTCCCGGCGGGGCCCGGATACCTGCCTGGGTGCGTGGCGAGAGGTCCGCATGTGCGTGCACCCCCCTTCCCACTTGTCTGAGACTTGGAGAGGTCCCTCCTTGCCCCCAGCCAGCGCCTAACCTTGATCTTCTCCTCGGCCGAGCATGCCCTGCGTGAGCCACCTCGGTGGCGAAGGAGAGGTCCCCATGCCGGCGCTTTCCAGTCCTGACTCACTCCCCCCCCCCTTGGCGGCTCCTCCAGGGCTTGGCGAGGCGAGGCTCGGGCAGCTGCTGCCCCTAACAAAGGGACCCTCCTCCTCGGTGGCGGCAAGGTGGGAGCAGGAGCGCCAAGCAGGGCTGCTGTGGGGGGCAGCCGGAGGCAGCGGGCCGAGGGCTCCCGGGGGCGAGGGCTCAGCTGGCCATGGCTCAGCCCCGGCCATGTGGCTCAGGGGGAAGCGAAAGGCCAGAAGTGGGAAGGGAAAGGCTGTGCGGCTCAGGGGGAAGGGAAGGCCGTGCGG